TTGTTTAAAACTTGCCATGAAAAACATGGAAGTAACGATGGTGACGATAAGGACAAATCAATAGCTGTAAAAGTGTTATGGGCGGCACTAAAAAATGTTGCTTCTTTTTGGTTCAAAAGACATAACCCGGATGATAATAAAAGTCGCTCAATGACTCCACCACGAGAGTCCTGTCGAGGACTACCCCACAGGGGGTGGTGGGAATTAAAATCGCCAAGAATTAAAAAAGGCTCGGGCAGCTGGCCGACGAGTCCCTGAAGTTCTTGCAAATGCAGCAGAGTGTTGGGTGGCAAGTAGAGCGATACAAGGGTAATGAGGCGGTCAAGAAGAATTCGAACTGCAACTGCCTCAAGTGGAGTCTGTAGAGGGACTGGAGCACAGGCAACTCCACTCTGCACTACCACTGCTACACCACCCGAAGGGTTTGATGAAATGCGGTCCTTTCAAAAAACCTGATGATGATGTAGCACTTTTGTGTGGGTGTCACTCAGACAAGTCTCCTGTAGGCACAAGGCCACAGGACGGAGCTCATCAAGAAAAAAATGTATGTCATCAATGTTACGAAAAAGGCCGCGACAATTCCACTGCATAATGCTAAAATGGTGGACCATTGTAACGTTTATAATAAAAAATAAAATTAAAAATAACTGTCAAGAGTAAGCAAATTTTTTACGACTTAAAATCTATCTTTACACGCGGAGCATTTTTCTTTTTGGAGGTTTCATTCGGCCTGCACGTGGTGCCACCGGAGGCCGGAAGTAGAGATTCGGAGCTCGAGTGGGGTCTGTCCTCGTCAGACCTTGACCCACTCTCGTCCATTGGCTCAGCTGGAGCCAAAAGGGGCTCCTCCTTGGAGGCCTGTAACCTCGACGGCTCCCCCGGTTTCCGAGATCCACCAGGGGCAGAGGGACCAAGTCCCCGACCTCGTGGTGGCTGGAACGGAGAAGCAGGGGGTGCAGAACCCTGTGCAGGGAACACAGACCCCTGTGCTCGGGTGGATCCTGACGGACCGGCATCCACCCTGTCATCTCGAGGTAGAGCAGTGTTTACTGCTCCAGAGGTTCCTTTCTTCTGCGACGGGGTGGTCTCCGTCTGCTCGGATAATAAATCCGAACCTTTCGCACGGCTGGGGAGGGCACCTGCCCGGGCAGCTGAGATAGCGCGCCCTGGGAGTTGCACCTTTAGTTTGGGACCAGAGGACTTAAGTGGTTGAGCAAGGTCCCCATAAGACACTTGCATTCCCACAGACGCCATAGGTGGTGCAGGTCCCCGGCGCACCACCTCAGCAAAAGAGCCTCTCTGAAAAGCCAAGAGGCGACGTTTCGCTTCGGGATAAGAGATGTTTTCCTTCACCTTCAGCGTCAGAATTTCCTTTTCTCTTTTGAAATGTTCACATGACCTAGAATACGCAGGGTGCTTGCCTTTACAATTTACACATTTCATGTCTTCATGACAGTCGTCAGCGTTGTGCTCGGAGCTACCACACCTGGCACATGTCTCACGGCCACGGCATGACCGCGAGCCGTGCCCAAAGCGCTGACAACGGAAACAACGGACAGGGTTAGGTATGTAAGGCCGGACCCTACAATTCAAGTACCCCGCTTTCACGGAAGAAGGCAGGCTGTTGAGCTCAAAGGTAAAGCCTAAAGCCACAAGAAAAGGGGAGAGTTTCGACATCGGTTTCGTCTCAACTTCGGAATGTATAATGAAAAACTTAGTGACGTAGTCAGTGTTGTTCTTGTCCAAAGGTGGTAGATATGCATTGGTGCGGACCCTTTTGGGGGCCCGATCAGAAGGTTTAAGCTTGGAACCCATATGAAGGGGGAGGGTTTTCGGAAACTGTGGTGCACCGCCCACCACCGAGCCCAACAAGGGAATAGGTAACGCTCCATAACAAGAAGGGCTTGGCTGAAGACGTTACTCTATTAGTGCTGCCCAGTCTCTATAACCAAGTGTGGTTCAAGACAAGAGAATCTATTGCCACCCAAGGTTAGCCCTTGCCGCCAAAGGAGTTGAAAAGGAAAGAAGAGAAATGAGAAGAGTGAAAAGAAGGAGAAGACAAAGGTGAAAGAAGGGAGGGGATAGTAGGAGTGGCGACTAGACTGAATCATCCTGGCCGGGCCTTACCAGGACTCCCGTCTATGAGAAGCAGGGGCCGAAGTGGTGTATTGCCTCACCCGGGGGGCCCCGAAGGGTCCAAACCTACCTCGGGCTCGGCTCAACCACCAGGATGCCCTTTTCCCCAGACACGGGAAAGCCACGCACAGCCAGACGTGGGCGGGCGAACCCGCATGGCTCGGGGTCCGTGGAGACGCCAATCTCCAAACACCTGCTTTCACAGGTGCCCCCTGCGGGGAGCATGAACAGATGATGCGCGGCAATAATTGAGGCAGTGCATGTAAAACAACAACGTCCATTGTACCAAGTGTTTACATCGCAGTTTTGATGAGCGTCAATTATTTTTCGCGCTTCTTTCTTGCGAGACATTTCCACGTACCTATCAGCACATTTCGCTAAGAAATCAAGGAAGTTAATTTACGGTTTCTCTCCTCTCTGTCTGTGCGGCGGCATATGAAGACGAGTCGCTGTGGTTCACCCGCTCGACTTTGCCGGGATGACCCGTGTGAAGTGCGATGGCTTACTGTTACGCATTTGGCCGTAAGTCCTCAAGCAAAAAAAAAAGGAAGCAAGGCTTTCGTTCCACCAGGTTCTGAGCGACGAAGAGTTGCGGCAAAAGTGGATAAAATTAATTTCACGAGACAATTGGAGCCCAAATGCCACCTCCTGCTACTCAATGCACGTTTTGCGAAAGATCTGCTACCACCTCTCGGCGAAAATTGGAAGCTTCCTAGAAAGCTGGGCCGCTGGGTTCGACGCTCTTCCAGATGATCACAGGCAGACCCGGCAGGGGTGTTTCTCACGTTATGGCACGCTGGTATTCTTCCCTCTGTTCGGTTTATTTCGTTCCGCCGCTATCTAAACGGTAGCGATGACTGAAGACGAGAACGTCCCGTTCTCATTTCCTCCGGACGCTTGGGTCGAGAGGCCTCCGTCGTGCGTGAACTTCTCACAAGACGAAGTGTGGCGGTACCTGCAAGGCCAAGTCTGACACCCTGCTTCAGGCCCATCGCGGTTGGGCTTTCAAAAAGGAAGGCTACAAACGCAACGTTCGATGGAACTTCTCGGACGATTCTCGGACATGCCCCATCCGATGCATGCCCCTGCCTTCCATGAAGAAGGCGCTGTATACTGTCTCCACGTGGTTTACCAGAGACACCGGCACCGTCACAGGCGGCATTTGCAGATGTTTTGCTGGATGAGTAATACCCCTTTACGTTTCTGAGTAATCATTTATGTCTATGTAGTCCCGCACCATGTGAGAGAGCACGAACGCTTCGGTTGAGTGCTCCAGTGCCCGCATCAAACGTGTGCCACAGCTTTTTATTGTGTGATCGATACTACAACTATTTCCATATTAGCTACTCGTTTTTGCAGACATCTACACACAGCTTGTAGAAGTCCCTTTGCTTTCACTTGTCGTGCACGCTGTTGATAGTGCCCCGATAGCATAGCAACCTATCTAGTCATTAGAGGTTCATTTTGTATTTTGTCGTTTTCTAGGAAAAGCGGGTGCTGCCAGCACGTCGTAGCACTACTTCTCTATGCAGAAGAGAGCCCGACAACCTCTTGCACCGATGTTCCCTGTTCTTGGATTGTTCCAGCTCAAGGTGTGTATGAAATATTGTTGATTACGGGCCTTATGGCGCAAAGCTACTATGGCCATATTGCGCCAAGCTAGTTTAGTTCAAACATACCCAGAACTTATAGATAACTTATCCAAAAAAGGTTTATGTGACAAGGTTAAAAGCCCTAAAATTAAAATTACAACTCCAGTAGGAAGCCAATTTTTCTTAAATAATTTATGACACAATCAAACGGTACCATATGAGTCTCCCCAATTAGCAGCGCCGGGTGAAAAAGAATCTGGTGTGAAAAAAACTTGGGGAAATGTGTACGTTGTTCTTGCTCAAACCCTGAGCACAGCCACAAAATGTGCAAAATTGTTAGACGCTCGCCACAGTCATCACACAGGGGTGGGGCTAACGACCTGAGCAGATGTCTGTGGGTAAGGTAGCAGTGTCCAATTCTAAGACGACACAAAAGAACTTCATGGCGGCGGGTTTTGTGGGATGCACTCTCCCACGTACCAAGAGCTGGCTTAATCCTGTGAAGTTTGTTTTTGCATTCCAGACTCCACTCAGAATGCCATAGTTGGAAAATTAATGATTTTGCTAAGGGCTTTATGTCTTGAAATGGAATCTGTGAGGAAGTTGGCAGTAGGTGCTTAGAGCTAGTGGCCAATTCGTCCGCTCTTTCATTACCTAGGATCCCCATATGGCTAGGCAAACAGCAAAATTTTGTCTCGGCCAAGCCGCAGACAACATTGTACCTGAGATCGGACAAGTTGTGCCAGTCTATTTTTACTTCCCTTCACTGAGCAAAGTGTGGTGAGCACACTTTGAGAATCCATGAATAAAATAGATTTCATCGTCTTGCTGGTGAGAATACACTCCAAGGCCATCAACACCGCATAGAGCTCTGCCGTGTAAATACAGTTGAACCTCGATTTTACGAAACCCGATCTTACGAATTCCGCGATCTAACGAAGAAATTTTGATTCTCTGTAAGGTGCCCATAGGGCTCAATGCTTTTCTGAACTCGAAATAACGAAATAATGTTCCGATTTAACGAAGCTTTTTTGAAAATAAATGCAAGTAAAACGAGGTAATTTCACGGATATTTCGAAATGAAAGACTCAGAAGATTGTCATTATGGTGCATCAGTAACATTGAGGAACCCGAAGTCTGTATTTTACGGAACTCCACGCAAAAACAAAAACGAATTGTGCATCACGAGCTTTGAGTAAACTATAGCAGATGGCGCTGGCGGAGGTATTTCACGTCGCGTGCAATAGATGGCGCCGCCGACGTTCGCCGTCGTTTTGGCCGTTGATCCGTGTTTCTTTGTTCCTGGGTGCTTCGTGTTGTCACGACTTTGGATTCCTCTACCAACACGTCCGCGTCGCCGTCAAATGGAGCCGCCAAAGAAGAAAAGAAAAGTTCTCTCTCTAGAAGAAAAAGCGAAGGCAATAAGCGCTGTTGCCAGTGGACGTAAAAAATGCGACGTTGCTGCAGAGCACGGCATCCCAGCGAGCACGTTGTCAACGATCTTGAAGGGGAAGGACGCTATCCTTCGAGCGGCTTCGTCAGGGAAGGCGACGAAAAAGAAAAACCTGAAGACTACGCCGTACGAAAAGTTGGAAGAGGCACTTTACACGTGGTTTATGGACATGCGAGCCAAGAACGTTCCAATATCCGGGGAAGTGCTACAACGGAAAGCGCTCTGTTTTGCATGTCTGCTGGGCTTTGATGACTTCAAAGCAAGTTCTGGCTGGCTGACGCGTTTTAAAGGGCGTTACGCGGTTGTAGGCAAGGTTATATGCGGCGAGGAAAATAGCGTCAACAGGCTTGAGGCCGGCGACTGGCTGTCTGAGAATGTACCGGACATCCTAACAAGCTATGCCCCCAGGGACATATACAACGCCGACGAAAGCGGTCTCTTCTATCAAATGCTACCGAAAAGAACGCTTGCCCAAAAAGGTGCGTCCTGTCACGGCGGCAAGCAAAGCAAGCAGAGGGTGACGATGCTGCTGTACGTCAATATGGATGGGACCGACAAGCGAAAAGTACTGATCATCGGAAAGAGTGTGAACCCGCGCTGCTTTAAAGGATGCAGAGAGCTTGACATGCAGTACGAGGCAAACGGCAAAGCCTGGATGACGCGCGTGATTTTCGGCAAGTGGTTGAAGGAATTCGATGTCGACATGTGCAGCCAAAAAAGGAAAGTGTGCCTTTTGCTAGACAATTGCACGGCGCACTACGTCCCGCAGCTCGAGTTGACAAACGTGGAGCTCCGCTACTTCCCTCCGAACGCCACTTCAGTCATTCAGCCACTCGACCAAGGCATTATAAACAGCGTGAAGTCTGCGTACAAGTGTCGGGTTATCGACAAGCTGCTGCTGAACCTGGAGCATAATCGAGCCACGAAGATCGACATCTACACGGCTATCGCTCTGGTAGCGGCGTCATGGAAGGCGACAAGGACGTCGGTAATAGTGAACTGCTTCAGGCACGCCGGTTTCAAAACGTCCGACCCCGAGGATCTGTCCAGCCTTGAACTCCCGAACCAAGAGGCCACGCCCAGTTCCTGGGAAGCGCTTCGCCAACTGGGCCACGTGTCTGAAGACTCCAGCTTCGGAGATTACTTAAGAGACGACGCCGATGCCGACATTCAGACAACGGAGGTCCTGGACGACAGTGAGATACTGCGGCTCGTCGCTACTGGACAGAAAGATGACGCCGAAGCAGATGACGCAGAAGCAGTCGAGGATCCCGTGCCAACACCAAGCCAGGTAATGGATGCAGTTGACCTCCTGAGGCGGTTCGCGGGTGCGCACGAGGGAACTGCAGCTGCCTTCAACGCGCTCACCGCTTACGAGAAGTGCGTGCTTCCGCTTTTGACGAAGCGCTCGCAGTCGAAGATCACCAGCTTCTTTCTTCAGCAATAAATGTGTTCTTTTCCTGAGAATTGAAAGCTTTAATACGGTGCCGCGGAAGCAGCTTGGATGCCGCTGCATTGAAGTCGTAATTATCGAATCTAATGGCCAAAAAATGCATTTCCCGATTTTACGAATTCCGCGATGTAACGAAGTAATTTGCGGCTCCAGTCAACTTCGTTAAATCGAGGTTTAACTGTAGTTGCACATTCCTTGAGACGCTGAACCTTACTGAATCCTTCAGAGTAAACTGCTGACCCTACAAAATGCAATGATTTGGCACCATCGGTATAAAATTGGGAGTAGTAGTTACCATACTTCTGCACCTCAAGGAATTCTTGCTGAATCACCACTGGGGGATGTTACGTTTGTTAAATCTAGTAAAATACCAATCACAAAAGACGGGCAACATCCTCCACGGAGCTTCATTTTCCCCCTTCTGCAAAAGGTCGGTCTTGTCAAGGGTGAGGTCAAGAGAGGTACAAATCCCCTCAAGGCGAAGGCTTAAAGGCGGTACAACCCTGGGCTTATGTTCCAAAAGACAAGCAAACCGAGAATGTTGCAAAGCACCATTAGGTGGGTGATTTAGATAGAATTCTGGAAGCACAAGTCACCGCAAGATAACGTCGTCTGTGCATAAGTGACATCTGATTGGATTCAGCGTACAAGCTAGGAATGGGCGATGTGCGGAAGGCACCTGTAGGCGAGCCTTAGACCAAGATGATGCACAGGATCCAACATTTTAAGTGCACAAGGCCTTGCTGAGTCAAACTATAGCACCATAGTCCAGACGTGACCGGATAAGGGAGTTGTATAAGCGTAGCAGACATATTCTATCGGACCCCCATGACTTGTGTGCTAAGACTTTAAGAATATTGACTGATTTAAGGCACTTCTTTTTCAGGCCCTTCAGGTGGGAAATGAAGTTTAGCTTTTATCAAACGTTATACCCAAAAATTTATGCTCCGTTTTGACACTAATAGGAACCCTGTTTAACGTCAGTTTTGGATCTAGAAACAACCCCCAACGCAGAGAAAATGGCACACAGATAGTCTTCTCGGGCAAAAACTTAAACCCATTTTCGTCAGCCCACTTACTAATTTTGTTGATGGTAAGCTGCAGTTGCCGCTAACAGCTAGACAAACTACAAGAAGAAACCGAAATGTGAATATCATCTACATAGAGGGAGTATGAAATGGAAGGTGGAATTACCCTTGACGAATTAATCTTTACGGCAAACAAGGTGACACTCAACACACCTCCCTGTGGAACACCGTTTTCCTGGATATACTGTTTGGATAGTGTGGTGCCAAGTTGAACTTGAAAAGAGAAACCTGTAAAAAAACTGCTTATAAAACGCAACATGCGACCACGCACACCACAACAATACAAGTTACGGAGGATACCACACCGCCATGTCGTATCATATGCTTTCCCCAGGTCGAAGAAAACAAAAACACAATGTTGCCTATTTACGAAAGCTTCACGTATTGTTGTTTCCAGACGGACTATGTGGTCCAAAGCAGAACGCCCTTCTCGAAAGCCACACTGATTATCAGCAAGAAAGTGGTTAAGCTCCAAAATATATGTCAACCGCCTATTAATGAGGCGTTTCAATGTTTTGCCAAGGCAACTCGTCAAAGCAATTGGACGGTAACTGCGTGGGTCCCAAGGGTCCTTCCCAGCTTTCAGCAAAGGAATTACATGTGCCTGTTTCCAGATTTGTGGAAAGTAAGCTGCATCCCACAGGTAGTTGAAAAAAAGTAGTAGTGGTTCAGTGATTCTCGAGACAATTGACGGAGCATTTCATAGTGGATTCCATCAGTACCCGGAGCCGACCTCTTCTTCGCGCCAAGAGCCACCTCTAGTTCTTGCATTGTGAAAGTAGTGTTGTATGGCTCAGAGCTACAACTGGACATGGGTATACGGTGACCCTCTGCACTTGCTTTAAAGCGTTTAAATTTCGTCCAATAATTTCGGGAGCTGGAAACATTCTCAAAGTGCTCTCCAAGCACATTCGCAACATCTTTCAGGGAATTTGCAGGGCACCTAAATAGTGGAATAACAAAACAATGGTAATCCCCCTTGATTTTTTTTGTACCTATCCCACACTTCCTTCTCCGAGACAAACTTTATGGAATAAATGTACTTGGTCCAGGTCTTCCGCTTAGCTTTTCTCCTAGTCCATCGGGCCTTTGCTTTTAGTCTTTCAAATTCTATCCTATTTGAAGAAGTAGTGTATCTCCGAAAAATATCCCATGCCCTATGCCGCTTTTTCCTTGTAGTGGCACAGCCTTCATTCCACCAAGGCCTACACCTCTTGGGTAAATTTCCAGAGGTGTGAGGAATGGCGCCTAGGGCAGCACTTATGATTTGCTCGGTAACATACATTGTCGCGTCTTTGGGCGACGAATTTGCTAGAACTGACGGGTCAAGCACTGCATCAAGCTTAAAGAGCGCCCAGTCGGCTTTGTCCAGTTTCCACCTAGGGGTTCGTTTTAAAAAAGTCGGCTTTCAATTACAACCGGGAAATGGTCGCTCCCGAAAGGGTTGTTTAAAACCTTCCAAGAAAAACAGGGAAGTAATGATGGTGATGAAATGGAGAGGTTGATGGATCTGAAGCAATTATGAGTGGAACTATAAAATGTTGGTTCTTTCTTATTTAAAAGACATACGTCTGAGGACAGTAAAAATCTTTCTACAACAGCGCCACGAGTCAAGGCGCTTACTGCCCCACATGGGACTGTGAGCATTAAAATCGCCAAAAACTGAAAAAGGCGTTGGGAGTTGCTGAACCAATCCTTGAAGTTCATGAAGATGCAGTTGACGATGAGGTGGTAAATACAAAGACACAACCGTAACGAGACGATCAGCAAGAACACGTACCGCAACTGCTTCTAGTGATGTACGCAGAGGAACTTCCACACACGCTATGCCACTCCGTACAATGGCAACACCACCAGAAGAGTGGTCTGAAGCCCAATCCTTTCTAAAAATGCGGTGACGATTAAAACATTTGTATGGGTGTTGTTAAGATATGTCTCCTGCAAGCACACAGCAATGGGCTATAGCTCATCCAGAAAGAAATGAATGTCATCAATATTTTGCAAGAGACTTCTACAGTTTCATTTTATAAAACTATACGTGTTCATGTTAAAAATGGTTTAAAGTAACAGCAAAACAAAGAAAGAAACCTGCCCTAGGTGTCCTGGGGTGGTTTGGGTGGGGTTACTCGCAGATTGAGCTTTTTCTGGGATGACTTTTTAAACCTGGCATCATCAGGTGGGACTGAACAAGCGGGAGCAGATTCAAGTTCCATCCACTCCTCAGGCTGAATGGCTGAGGGAGCAGCTGGTACGGGCACCTCATTAGATGTCGAGGCCTCTCCTAAAACCTTAAAACGAAAAACACCCTCCTTCCTCCAGGGAGGAGTCCGAGTAACCAAGGCAGGCACATCGTTCGATGGCCCGTCCTTAGGAATGGAGGAGCCACCATTGCCTTCTCCCTAAAGCTGGTGTTGCTGCCTCTCCTCTTGTCTCCCCTCCATTCGCACAGACACATCTCTTGCCTCTGCGCCATCTGGAGGCCTCTGTGGTTTCTTTGGTTCCAACGACAAACAGAGTCGTGGAGCAAATCTTTGTGAGGCAGGGGGAGGTGGTGGAATTACCAGGTCATTAGGACAGACCTGGGTTCCTACCGAAGACTTTGATGGCACACTCCCTGCATGTGCCACTGTAAGGCCCCTTCTGCAGGAAGGAGAATCGCTTCCTGCCTTCGGGGAACGAGATGTTCTCTTTCACTTTGAGTGTTATAATTTCTTTTTCTTGTTTCCATTTTCTGCAAGAACGGGAATAAGCAGGGTGAGGTTCGCTGCAGTTGATGCAACAAAGTGGATTTCAGATATTCTCTGCAGGGTGATCATTTTTGCCACACTTGGCAGATGTTGTCTTTCCACGGCAGCTCTGGGCGCTATGGCCATATCTCTGGCAATGAAAGCAACGCCGAGGGTTTGGCACATACAGCCATACTCTACAGTTCAGATACCCTGCTTCCACTGATTCCGGAAGCGCCCTTAGCTCAAAAGTCAGAATGACATGATTTGTCTTCATCTCTTGACCGTCCCGTAAAAGAAATTCACTTTGCAGCAATGACTCCTTGGTCACGAAGGCCATCGAGAATTTTATCTTCGGGGGATTCTAGCAGGTCATCTTCTGATATTATGCCTTTTATAGTGTTCAAAGTGCAGTGGGGTGATACAGTAACCCTGTAGTCACAAACCATGTTGAGTGCCAGCAGGTCTGAGATTCGCTGAGAGGTTACAACTTCAACGAGGAGATCTCCAGATGGCATTTTTTTTTGCTTTAAAATTCTTTCCGATTACATATTCAAGAGTCTTAGAGACCAGGAAAAAGGATAACTTGGATAAAGGTTTTTCCGTTTCGGAATGTATGACGAGAAATCGGGGAAACTTCTCCACGGGTGCAGTGCTTCTCTAACGTGTGCTTCAGTCCGGACCCTTTTCAGGGCCCGATCAGGTTCAGGTTTTTGGTTTAGTTTGGAACCCATAAGAAATGGGAAGGCGTTCGGCATCTGTAGCTCACCACCCACCACGGAGTCCAACATGGGGATAGGTAATGCGCCATAGCAATAAGGGTTTTGCTGACGACATTACGCTATCAGTGCTGCCAAGACACTATAACCTAGTGTGGGTCCAGACAAGGGGTCTATCGCCACCGAAGGTTAGCCCTTGCCGCCAAAGATGGTGAATATGAATGAAAGAAGAGTAGAGAAAGGAAAAAGATAATAGGGGATAGTAGAAGATATGGCGACTGACTGAATCATCCTGGTCGGGCCGAGCCAGGACACCCGTCTGCAGGAAGCGGGGGCCGAAGTGGTGTATTGCCTCACCCGGGGGGCCCCAAACGGTCCAAACCTACCCCGGGCTCGACTTAACCACCAGGATGCCCTTTTGCCCTGATACAGGAAAGCCACGCACAGCCAGGCGTGGGCGGGCGAGCCCGCATGGCTCGGT